TAATTGAAAAATGTCAGTCATGTTAAAATTTACATGAATCTAATAAAAACTCATTTTTCAAAAAATTTGCAAAATAGACCCTTTTAATGTGAAAGACCCCATATATAAAGATTATAGCTGATACTAAAATCTAGAACTAAGGGTTTGGGTCCCATAGCTTATTAGTTAAGCTCCCAAATCCTCACAGATTAGGTCAATGGTTCGAGTCAGGCTAGAAACAAATTTTAATAAAAATTTGGTTCTGTAATCTACGGAGGCCATAATCAGATACGAAGCCCTGTGGAAAGTCCAAGTGCAGTATAAAACTAGAATAAAGAGTTTCCGGAAGAAGACCATGTAGAGTGTTGGCACTATATGTAATAGCAGTATCACAGAAGATCTAGGCTATAGAAGATTGTATGTGTAAGTCCTTGGTTAGGTGACTAAGAGGCAATACCAACATTCTATCACCTCCGTATTTGGCAATACCAACATCCCTGTACCCAACTTGTAGGATACTTAATTGGAAGAATGATCAACAGATTATGCATATAAGTTCTAATAGGGAATAGTGTTAGGTACTTGCTTGGAAAGGTGATTTAATACTACTAAAACCGGAGTAGTGAGTGAAGGGTGATACATAACTATGGGCTGTGGTAAAGGATCATGCCTTAACTAGAATTGAAAACACCTCTGGTATCAGTGAAATGACTATAGAAGGTTATTTAGCATAAAGAATGTAACCTACCTCTGTATGTCTAAATATACCAAATCAAAACTCTGGTCATACCTGTATAGAAGTCTATGACAAAAAGAGCTAGAATATACTAGCATGAATACTATACTAACTAGAAATAGCTAAAAGTGATTTAACTTGCTATTTAAGTAATTGCGTAGCACTGGGCTGGTCTTTAACAAGATAGGTTATTAAAGCAAATTATAAAAAGCCAATGGCTGAGAGTGTGTAGTCTTGTAATTGCTGTGCAACTTGAGGGGTTCTCACGAATCAAGGTTCCAGTGAATACTATATAAGAGAGTACAAAGGGAGTAGAAGATATACAACTGCACCAGATAACTTAGTAAATATTAAAACCTAGAGAAGGCAAACTGGTGGCAGTAGCAGGGGCCTGGCTTGAGATACGAGGTCAGTATATCTGGGAAAGTAAGTGAGAGGGCTAGTGATAGTTCCTAGTATTGCACTACCTTTAAGTAATATCCAGATCTAATATGTGATATCAATACTTCTTACGTGAGACTAGTGGTGGCAGCAGAAATCTGGCTTGAGATACATATACAAGAGGCCACCTATAGAAAAGTATATACCAGTATAAAGTACTTAATAACAGGCACACCAAATTGGAAGGCTGTAAAAGACTGATTCCCTAAATAAACCAATTTGGGAATAATCAAAATTTGACAGTGAGATATGGGTGAATATGGTGAGTAACTAAAAATAGTCTGAACACCAAATCCAGGTATAACCCAATATGTGGTAAGAACATAGCATACTCTGGTAGGTTTAGGTCATAGATAAGATTGTCTAAGCTTGTATTATTAAGATAAATATATAGCCATATATAAGACAATACTTGATAATATCTAATAAAGATTCAGGGCAAGACCTCACCTTAACACCGAAAAAAAAAAAAAATCTAAAACTTCGATTCGAAAATATAAGCTCTGCTAAAATCCACATATATTTTTTAATAATCAATTCTATCTCTAAATCTCAACTTTAAAAAAAAAGCAGGAACAAACACCACAAAAAATTTTTTAACAAAATAGATTCAAATTTTAACATTAGCTACGATGATAAATAATATAAAAGAATATTACTATAAGTTACTACTATAATAATGAAGTATAGAAGAAATTAGTAAATCCTTAAAACTAAACTGCTAACAATAAATAATAAAAAATTTATTAATATAAATAAATTAATTGGTAATTCGCCAGTCAACCAGTGAGAGGCAGTGTTTAAAATTCAAATTTAAAATTATGTTCTCAAATGAACTTAATTTAAAATTTAATGTTCTCAAAAATTTTTTAATGTTCATTATAGAGAACATTAATTTTTTAATTTTGTTCATAATTTTATTAAAATGTTCTCAAATATATAATATTAATATATTATTATTAAGTTATAGTTAAATTACTATTTATTATATTTTACAAAAAAAAAAGATTTTATAATTTTTTATAATATTATAATAAAAATAATATATAGTATATATACTTTTATAAGATATGAAATTGGAATTCTGAAATATTAAGTAAATGAATATATTAATTAGAAGCAGTATATATATATATAAGTAAATATGTTTAGTTTGAAAAGAGAAAATTGATTGTATCTTGTTTATATGAGTGCTGTCAATAGAAAACCTGTCATCAGATTTTCAATTATATTTGTATCTAGTTTGCTCTCTGAGTGCTATTCAGAGAAAATTTATCATCAGACTTTCGATTATATTTGTAATGACTTGTTACAGAATATAATTAAAATTCTGATGATAGATTTTTCTTAGTCGGTACTCAGATAACAACCTAAATACAAAATATAATTGAAAGCCCGATAACAGGTTTTCTTTTAATAGCACTCATATTATCTATGTAATTATTATCAAATTGAGATCAAGTTTCATGATTAATTAACGATGCAGGAATTATTAAGTAAAGAATAATAATAGCAGTGTATTAAAAATATATAATTAATTTAAGAGTATAAGTAATATGAGTGCCACCAAGAGAAAATCTACATTCGGGCTTTCAATGTTCAGTTTGTTTTCTGAGTACTATCTAGTAAAAATCTGTCATCAGCTTTTAATCATATTTAAATAAAATATAATTTAAAGCTGATGATAGGTTTCTCTAGATGGTATTCAGAAAACAAACTGAATATTGAAAGCCCGAATATGAGTTTCTCTTGGCGGCGCTCATAAATTAATTACACATAATATATAGTCAACATCTTGATTTATAAGCAAGCAAAAATTATAAAGCATTGACTCTTTCTAGTATATTAACTCTTTCTAGTAATAAACAAATAGAATATAAATATGATACTTACCCTTCTTTATATCAGCTTTAAGAATGGAGTGATGAGAATCACGAAGTGTATAACTTAGTAGAAAAAAAAAGTACATACGTTCTCAAAATCTAAAACTTGATTGGTTAGCATAACCATATTTGACACCTCTTGCTTATTCTCCATATAATAAGTCTTCACATACTACTTTCTATACAATAAGCAGCAACATTATTTGTATTATACTAGCTTGTTCTCAATAGTCAATAGATTGAAAGCAAAATTTTAATTAGTCAGAAATTGAATAAACAAAACATGTAAGTTACTATTTGATGAATAAAACCTGGAGATTGATAATTGTACTTACCATTTGAGTTAAGTTATTAGATAGTTATCAGAAATTAAAAAATATGTTATACTAGCACTATAGGTAATACAAAGTACCCCCATCCATATTTATTACTTGATAAGTTAATTATATTACAAACCTGTGTCGAAGACACAGGAACAAAATTTTTTTAATTGACATGCAGCAACATCAAGTTACCAAAAGTTTGACAAAGCACAGATAGAAATTATTAAACTATATGATACTCTTTATTGTACTCTATTTTTGGTAAATATAATCTAATATATATAAATATGTATAAAATTTAAATATTTTATATGTACAATTTTATATATATTTAATACTGTTCTATGTATGTAGCTATTTAATTCTATGATCAAGTTTACACCATTCTTGATATGCTAATTGAAAATTAAAATTTTCTAATTTAGGTCTATTAAAGAAATAAGAAGAAGATAATTCAAAGTAAAAATATTTATACGATTTCGAAGTTTTGTCTTAATTAAATTTTGTCAAGAAAAAATACATTTAACAACTGCATTAGTTAAAGGAAGATTAGCTAAAATAGAAATTAACTTTGCAGTTTCAGGATAAATTTCATTAAAAGTAGAAAGATCAAAAAAAATATGTTTCCACGCTTCTAAAAAATTTAAATTTTTATAATTAGTTAGAAGAAATCTAACTGATAGCCATTCGTAATTTAAATTTTCAGAATTTAAAATTGCAGGAATTAAATTTCCTGATATATTTTTGCTTTGACCATAAAAATTATCTAAAATTTCAATTTCATCTTCACCATATTTTTGAAATAAAGAATTTTCAACTGGTAAAGCCATTGGATCAAAAATATGAAATGCGTCAACTTGAATTCAGTTTGGAAATCTTTTTTCTAATGATTCAATTGAAGCACGTACAAATTTTGTAATAATAATAGGTAATTCTTCTGCGATAATATTATGATTATTCATATATTTGCGCAAATGAGTTCCCCAAGATGGTTCAACTCCATCTATTCCAAGAAATTGTGATTGAATAGTATAAATAGTAATATCGAGTTGGGTTTTTACTTCACGAATAGTAATATGATTTTTTTGAAAAAGAAGATTCA